AGAACCCTAGATAGGAATATTGGGGTTTTGATCTTGAAAGGGGATAGGATAACAATTGGTATGCATGCTAGGAATAGATGTGTATTTAATTGCGGATGCTTAAATTATTGCGTTCATTGCTTAATACCATGAGGAATATTGCAAGGAATTGGGGTTCCAATTGGGGATTAAAGGGTTAACCTTGCAAGGAATTGAAGGTTAACTAATAAATATTCTTAGATAATAATTTATCCGAGTAATTATATGAATAAGTATTGTGAATCAATCCAAAGTAAGAAGTGGGGATCATAAGGTGAGTGCGCTCTAGCTATAATGTTTTTCTCATATTTTTAAAATCAATTTTCATTGTTATTGTTTTATTTCTCTTAAATAAAAATTCAAAAACAAGTCTTTACTTTTATTTCTTATTGTTACTAAAAATCAGTTCACAATTTTTCCAAACAACAAACCGAGTTTTCCAACTTAAGGGGACTGGTTATTGTAGTACTTTGTTTACAATCCCTGTGGAGACGATACTCTACTTACTTTCTATATTACTTGTGCGATCGGTATACTTGCCGGTGAGCATTATGTTTTTGGCACCGTTGCCGGGGATTGTTAATTCCAATATTACAAATAACCGTTGATCTTTGAGATTGGTTTTTTATTTTTATTTTTATTTTATTTTGTTCTATCTTGTTCTGTGTTTGCAGGTGCTGCTAACTATTTTTTTCTAAGTTTATGCGAGGTAGACTTGCTCCTACAGACTTTGTGATTGATCCTGAAATTGCAAGAACTGAGAGGAGACTGAGGAAAGTTGCCAAGCAGATAAATTAAGAAGAATTCAAGGACGTACCTGTACGACCAATACAAGAGATGGCGGGTAACAACAATGCAAATAACCCACCTCCACGATTTTTGGACACCATTCTGACTCCGATGTTCAATAGGCCAAATTCAAGTATAATCAGGCCGATGGTGGAGGCAAACAATTTTGAGCTGAAGCCATCTTTGATTACTTTGGTGGAAAGGGTTCAGTTTTCTGGTGATGAGGAGGAAGATCCTCATGAGTTCATAGATCTATTTCTGATGATCTGTGACACTACCAAGCACAATGGAGTGTCTGCCGATGCTATCAGGCTTCGATTATTCCCTTTTGCTGCTAAGGGAAAAGCTCTCAGATAGATAGAAAGGAAGCCAGCTAATAGTATCACGACATGGGAAGACTTGTCATCAAAGTTCTTTTCCCATTTCTTTTCTATGGAAAAGTACAACCAACTGGTGAATGAAATCATAAACTTCCGCCAACTTGAAGGAGAATCACTGTGTGCAACCTGGAATAGATTCCATGAACTCATCCAGAAGTGTCCGCACTATGAAGGAGACGATGACAGAAAGGTGGCAATCTTCTTTAATGGCATCTCTCCTGAAACAAGGTTGGTGATTAATAGTGCAGCTGGAGGTTCTATTCGGCAAAGTACATCTGAACAAGACATTGACTTGATAAAGAAACTGGCAAGGAATGAGAATGAGAGTGTATCAGCTCAAATAAAAAGAGGAGTGATAAATCTGGAAAGCAATGAAGCTATGCTTGCCGAACAAAAGATGTTGTCCAAGAAGTTTGACAGCTTGAATGAGAAGTTTGAAAAATTTCAAGTGTCCAAGGTTCAATCAACTCCTGTGGTTTGTGAATATTGTAAGGAAGCTCATGAGTCTAATGAGTGTCCCACTCTAATGGGTGATAATCCACAGCAGTTGCAAGTGAATGGGGTTTGGTATGAGCAGAAGCCCCAACAAATTTTTCAAAGAAATCAGAATTCTCCTGACAGAAATAATTTTTCAGAGAGGTCAAGGAAGTGGTCTTGATTATAGTTCAAACAACTTTCTGCAACCTCCTCCTATTCCACAGAAGGAACTTTCTGATTTGGAGAGGTTAGTTGGACAAATGGCTCAACACTCCAATGCTTTTATGGAGGAGACTAGAGCCAATACCAAAAACACAAAGGCTTTCATGAAAGAGACTAGGGCTAATACCAGAAACATGAGTGCTTCGATCAGAAATCTGGAGAATCAAATTGGCTAGCTGGCCAAGCAAGTTGCTGATAGAAGTCCAGGTAATTTCCCTAGTAACACAGTCACCAATCCAAGGGAGGATCGTATGTTTGTCACCACTAGAAGTGGTGAAATGGTAGCAGCTCCAGAAAAGCCGAGCATAAATGTGAAAGCTGAAAAGAAGCTGGATACTACAGATGAGCCAAAAAAAGAAAAAGAAATTGAAAAACCTGCTGAAGTGGAAAAGCCAGTTGCAAAGAAGAAGTTTGAACTGAAACCAGAACATGTGAGGGCAATGGCACCTTATCCAGAAAGGTTTAAGAAAGATGCTCAAAAACAGCATTATGAAAGATTTCTGGATATATTCAAGAAATTGCATATCAACATTCCCTTTGCTGAAGCTCTGGCTTGCATGCCCAATTATGCCAAGTTCGTGAAGGACTTGTTATCAAGAAAGCATAAGCTGCAGGAATGCCAAACTGTAACACTCACTGAGGAGTGTAGTGCCATCATACAGAAGAAGTTCCCACCCAAACTCAGTGATCCGGGGAGTTTCAAAATTCCTATTGAAATTGGGGAAACAAAAATTGGCAGAGCATTATGCGATCTTAGCGCTAGCATTAATTTGATGCCCCTTTATGTTTGTAAATCCTTGGGGATTACCGAGTTAAAGCTCACTTTGGCATCTCTTCAACTTGCCGATAAATCTTTGAGGAAGCCTAGTGGTATTATTCAAGATGTTCTTGTAAAGGTGGACAAGTTCATCTTTCCTGCTGATTTTGTAGTGATGGACATGGAAGGGGGAGCTGAGATGCCTCTTTTGCTGGGTAGACCTTTCTTGGCCACTGCTCGGGCCATGATTGATGTTGAAAATGGAAAGCTTGAGTTAAGGATGAATGATGAGACCGTTACCATCAACGTCTTTGATTCTCTAAAATAGTCTTCTCACAAAGACGATTGTTTTAGTCTTGAAGTCTTAAAGGAAAAATGAAGTGTAGCGGATGATGCCAAGGAAGATGGTGCCATGAAGGTGGATTTGAAGGAGCTTCCTCAACCTCAAAAAAATGTCTTCTTGGGTAATAAGGAGCCGGTGATTGAAGCACTGAAGGAAGAGGAAACTGAATTGAAAAATAAAGATCCTCTTTCTCATACCAACAAAATTCTCAATGAAGATGATGACAAACATGGGAGAAAACCCCAAGGGAAGCGTCATCCTATACGAAAGAAGGTACTGAGAAAGGAAGTGGTGAAACTCTTTGATACGAGTTGGAAGAGACACCGGGAGCTGAAGTTTGACAAGAGACACCGAGACTATATCTCTCGGAAAAATCAATGCTTCAAAGAGTTTCTAACATGGCTTCATGGTTTGGAACAAATCTGGGAATAGTGGTCTCATACACCAAGGCATCCAGTACCACCAGATCCTCCATTTGTTAAGTCATCCCACACTGCTGAAGGGGATGACATGGAGGGTTGATTATATCTCCTTGCTGACGGAGATTTTGTATATTAGTTTATTTTTTTGTTTCGTATTTTTTTTAGTTACTTTGTGTTGGTATATTTCTCTCTGATGTTTTAATGTGCGCATTATAATTTATCCTATATGCCACTGTTTGTTCCATTGTGCAAGTTTTTCTTCCTCTTGTGGTTTAATAAGGACATCAATTCTCTAAATCTGGGAATGGTAGGCTTGCATCTTGGAACTGCAATTCTTCTATCAGGGGAGATATTCTAACTTTTTTTAAATTTTCTTAGTTAATTTTGTTAGTTATTTTTGCGTGCTCGTTATTTTTACCCTGAAAAAAAAAATTTGGAAAATGTTTTTCAAGCAATTCTCAGGTTTAAATGTGCTTGACTGAATTCTTGGAATATATTGTATGTCTTTCTGGCATGACATTGCATAGGCATAATTGGATTGCATGATTGCTCGTTTGTCTGAATTAATATTGTGAAATTTTGATAATGTCTGAGGTCAATTTTCTTGAGTCTGCATTGATACCATAACTGTGAGGTTTGAGCCTAAACACTGAAATTTTTGTTGAGAGGCCTCACTGTTGTAATACTCTAGAACTTGATCTGTTTCTCTGTTATGCATGCATTGATTGATATGATAAAGGCATTTTGTTCTTATTAGCTTATGGCCAAAATAGTCCACCTGTATGAAATTTTCCCTTGCTAGCCCCTTTGAGCCTGAACTTATTTGTTGATAAATGACCTGTGCCTGATTTATGGCTTAGCCTATGTCCATGTGACTTACCTTGAGTGAGATTGAATCACTGAATATGTTAAAAATAAAATAAAGAAATTGAGGTAAGCTCCACAAAGGTCAAGTAATTAAGGGATGGAAAATTCATTTATGCCCTTATAAAAAAAGAGAAAAGGAAAAATTAAAAAAAAAAAGGAAAAAAGCAATAACAGGTGAGCATTTTTAAGTATCTTAGGAATGTCATCCACCTTCGTTTCAAGCTCTTCAACTACTGGTTCCTCCTGATAAAATTCTCCACTCATTTCTTCCTTACTTTTGTCCTCCTCCAATAACAGGTCCTCTTCTCCTGTCACTTTTTCCACAACCTCCTGTATAATGTCAATCCTGAAACAATCCTCCACTTCAATAGGATGTTTAATGCTTCAAATACATCAATTGTACCTGTCTATTCATTCACTCTTAGCATCAGCTTCCTCTGTTCAACATCAATCAGGGATCTAGCAGTTGCTAAAAATGGCCTCCCGAGCAGTAGAGGGCTTTTCAGTATCTTCTTCTTCCATATCTAGAATAACAAAATCCACTGGAAAAATAAACTTGTCAACCTTGACCAGAACATCTTCAACCACACCTTATGCTCTTTTGATGGATCTATCAGCAAGGTGCAATATAAGATTAGTATCCCTTAGGGTGTTGATTCCCGAGGCTCTACATACAGTCAAAGGCATCAGATTTATGCTGGCCCCCAAATCACAAAGTGTCTTCCCTATTCCACATCTCCAATGGCAATAGGGATGCTGAAACTTCCAGGATCTTTCAATTTTGGTGGAAGCTTCTTTTGGATCAGGGCACTACACTCTTCTGTCAAAGCCACTGTCTCACCATCCTTCAATTTCCTCTTCTTAGACAAAAGATCCTTCATAAATTTGGCATAGTGAGGCATGTTCTCCAGGGCCTCAGCAAATGAAATGTTAATCTGTAACTTCTTAAAAATATCCAGAAACCTTGCATAGTGCTGCTTCTGGATTTCCTGCTTCAACCGTTGAGGATAAGGCACTTTAGCATAAGGAGATAAGTTAATTGGCTGGTCCTTCTTGTCAGCTATCTTCTTCTTCTCCCACTTCATCAACTTTTTGGGTGAAGATCTCTTTTCAACCCCTACCTCTTCTTCCTTCTTCTTTTCCTCAACTTCCTCTTCTTTTCCTCAACTTCCTCTTCTTTATCATTTTCAACTACAACATCTTCAACAACAACTTCCTCCTCACTTTTCTTTTCTCCCACTTTCTTCTCATCCACTTTCTTGTTCACCGGTTGGAGCACAAGCCCACTTCTTGTAATGATGGACTTGCAGTGCTCCTTTGGATTCACCATAGTATCACTAGGGAACTTTCCCTGTGGCCTCTCAGCTATCTGCCTAGACAACTGACCAATCTGTGTCTCCAAATTTTGGATGGATGCTTCCTGGTTTCTGAATGTTGTCTTAGTCTCCTCCATGAAAGCAGAAGTCTCTTCCCTGAAAGAATTTGACCCCTGGATGTAATCTTGAGTAGTCTTTGATAACTGGGAAAAAGCTTTCTCCCATGCAGTAGTATCACTTGGCTGTGATGAGTGTGTTGGAGGAGTATGTAGTGGAGGATTCAACTGATGGTTGGAACTATAACTGAACCCTGGGTGTTGATTCTTGTTCTTCCATGGTGGCACATACACATTTCGCCCCTGGTTGTTGTAATTCCTCTGGTTGTTATGGTCATACCACACTCCATTAAATTCTACTTGTTCAGCAGGTCTCCTACAATCACAATCATCTGTAACATGGTTTTTCTCACAACTGGCACACACAGAATTAGTGTCCACAGAAGCAACCTTCTGAGAAGAAAGCTGCTTAGTGAGAGAATCAATTTGTTGTTGTTGTTGTTTCTGCACTTGCTGCATCTGGTCATTCTTGGCTAATAAAGCATCATAGCCATCCAATTTAATAATTCCCATTCTTCTGTCATTCACTGGAGCATTGTCAAACTCCTGAGATGCTAAGGACTCAAAGATGTCCAGGGCTTCCTGAGGAGTCTTGGTTGTCAATGAACCACCAGCTGTGGCATTCACCAATGTCCTGGTAGTGGTTGTCAACCCCTGGAGGAAGATTGCTGCTTGATTCCACACTTCTATCTCGTGTTGTGCGAATTTCTTCAAGAGTATCTTGAACCTCTCCCAGGCCTCATAGATAGACTCTAATTCTTTCTGCTTGAACCCTGTAATCTCATCCTTCAACTTTGCCCTCTTGGATGCTGAAAAGAATCTGGCCAAAAACTTGGTCTGCAGGTCATCCCAAGTTGTAATACTTCCTTGTGGTAGTGACTGTAGCCATCTCCTGGCATCATCTTTCAGTGAATGAGTAAAAAGCCTCAAAAGAATGGAATCTCTGGACACTCCATTAATCTTCACAGTGTCACTTAACAGCAAGAAATTTTCAATGTGCAGGTATGGATCCTCTGCACTTGTTCCAGCAAACTGTTCTTTCTGCACCAAATGTACCAGTGCAGGCTTTAATTCGAAATTATTGGACTCTACTGTAGGTCGAACCACACTTCCAATGGGTGGAAAGACAGCAGGAGTCATGTAATCTCTAGTGTCCTCTGTGGTGGTTGCACATGGTTTTCTGCCATATCCTCTTCCTGTACTGTAGTACTTGGTTCACCACTTGGTTCCTCCCTTTCCAGTATTGCCTTCTTCTGGTTGCCCTCCTGTTCCTTCTAATTGTCCTTTCTAACTCTGGGTCAAAAACAAAGAAGTTGAATCAAAAGTACCTTGCATACACCATAATTAAAATGGAACAAAAATTCATACAACAAAAATATATAATACTGAAAATAAAAGGTTCAATCTTAACAACTAATGGTGTCTGTCAATGTTGAAAAACAAATTCCCCGGCAACGGCGCCAAAAACTTGTTGTCAGATTAGCAAGTGTACTAGTCAAACAAGTAATAAAATGATGAGTAAAGATCGTTCCCACGAGGAATTGTGTCAAGCACTGACTAACCAGATATTGTTAAGTTGAATCAACCAAAAGATTATGAATTGCATTTATTTCTTGTCACCAGAAATTAAATTTGAATTAAAATTAAAGAATTGATAAACAAATAAAGTGTGAATATAATTTAAAACAAGTAGTCAGATGTCAATTTCCCTCAAGAATGAATTTATGGATGAACCAATTTCCATGATGAATATCTACTATGTAATGTTCATCAACATTTTTCTTATCATCAAGATGTAATGTCTTACTACCTTGATAGACACATTAATTAGAAACCCCAATGTCTTGGTGATTCCTTTCTTAATATATGCATTAATTACTAAGGTCTTAAGATCACATCAGAAATCCTAGCATCAATGTCTTGACTACTAGAACACTGATGATGAAGTTGTCAAATATAGAAACAATGTAAACATGTCTGTTTTACACTACTCCTTAACATGAAGAATTAATCAAGACAACTTCACACAAATCACATAATAAATAAACAAGACATCTAATTAACCATTCATAAATTCAAACTTGAGTTCCATTGAATCAGACTACAAAGAACTCTACTCAGACATAATTGAAATATAAACAAAGGAAGAAGAAAGATCAAACTTCATTGTCATGATAGTAAGTCTTCAATCTTCAAGTGCAATTACATAGGAAACTAACTAATACAAAAACTAAGTCCTAAAGAACTTGGAAAGTAAGAGAGAGAAGTCAGATCAGAGGATCTGATATGGGAGAGAGAGATAGAATCAGATCTATGACAAATGTGAAGGCCCTTGCCTCTTATAGTGTTACAAATTATAACTGAAAACTAACATGGGCGCTAAAACGTTCATGAATGGGCGTTTTAGCGTCCATGTTTGACGGATGCCCAACTGCTTTTAACTAACTTGGGCGCTAAAACGTGAACTGTTGAACGTTTTAGCGTCCATGTTTGGTGAATGCTCAACTGCTTCCAACTGACTCCAACGCTAAAACACTTGGTTTGGATGTTTTAGCGTTCGAGACCAGAGTCTTTTTCCAACAGCAGGGCGCTAAAACGTTTGATCAGGAAGTTTTAGCGCCTAAGACCAGCAGCTTTTGTCCTCAGATTGCAGCAGCGCGCTAAAACGTTCTGTGTGAACATTTTAGCGCTTAGCACCAGCAACTTTTGTCCTTCGTTTGCAGCAGCGCGCTAAAACGTTCTGTGTGGACGTTTTAGCGCTCAACACTTAGGCATTGCTCCCTTTCTCCAGAATCTTCTTCTTTCTTTCTGCTACTCCTTAAGCTTCATTTCCCTACAAGACAGTGTAATTTTTCAACAGAGCTTTCAGAACTTGTACTTGAGGGAATTCCAGGACATTAACCTCTTTTTCATCCAATTAATCTCACAAATTGATACTAATTCATGCTGAAAAACTTATGAACTAGGGGTTTATCAGTAGCCCTGAAGCAATGCTTCGTATTTTTCTTCTTCGGTTCAGGGTATAACAAAAAGCCCAAATCTCGGTCCAGGGGAATGCTTTGAAGAAATTTGGCCTCATCCTCCTTTGTCATATCATTACGGCCAGAATGAGGGAGATTTCTTTTTTCCTCTCATTGTTAACAGAAATCAAATATAGCAAACACTTAAAGTGTTTTATAAAAAATGGGAGGGGGGAGGAACAATGTGTTTATGCAGAAATGTTAGAAATACTACAGAAATTCAAAGATATTCAAAGAAATCTTACAACTACTCAGAAAAATGCAAAGAAAATAAGCCAAAACACAAATAACTTCGAATGCTCAAAATAAGCCAAAAGAAAATAGATTTGAAGCATAAATATAAGTACAAGGACAAGAGATATATGGAGATCAAAAGGCGCTCCAAACGAAGAAGGCAAATTGCCAGAGCTTTCGTGTTTTAGAAATGGAAGACAAGAGCAGAGTGAAAACCTTTCAAAGACACAAATGAGTTATCAACCTTTGAGTGGCAAAATGGGGAAAATATGAATAGTAAAATGTAACCGTTGAAATTTCGAATAGCAAAGGTCAAGGGTATAAATGCCAATTCACCCTTGAAATAATGATTACATCTGTGAAGAGACGACACATTAAATGAGCACAAAATGCGAAGACGACACAAGGCTTCTATAACACATTATGACAGCCAGAAGTTGCCACGTATAAACTTATGATCATTACTTCAGAGGTATAAAATTCTTATCTCGGATCTACAATTTTAGGGATAAGAATTAATATCTTCAAGACAAACTCGGTTCGTTTATAGTCAAAACATAAGAAAAATGATGTAATGACTAAGAACCGAGGTTAACTAAGAATGCAATTGAGATTATGGATTGATAAATAATCTAGTTGCCATATAGTAATTAGGGTTAAGGGAAACTTATGATCAGAAATATTCCCGGATTAGAAGAGATAGAAATGGAATATTGAATTATCTTTTCGATAAAGATGGAATATTCAATCTACCCGACTTGAGAACATATTAATTATTTCTTGAAATGAACATGATACAATAAATCCAGGTGATTCCTAAAGGAAGTCCGGGTTACTTCAAAAATTAGGAATTTATATACACCCCGACTGATAGTAAAAAGAGGGCCTTGAAGGCCGTAGCATGTGAGAGGGGAAAAACAAAATTTTTCCGCAAGCGGAATACACATGCATATCAAGATACATACTTTAAGACGTATGTCATACCTTGTTCGTGAAAAACTCAAGACGATCAAAGGTAGGTCTGAAGGGTTCAGACCCTCTAACGTTGATCCACATCACCTGCGTCTAGATACAGGAACTCCTTCCAGTAAAGTCGCCAATTGATCACCACAAAGAGGCTTGCTATTCGCTCAATGTGTGATGAGAGGAGGCTATGTAAAAGTGTTTGGAAGAGTGAAGTTTTCTTAGAGAAAACCTCACAAAAGTGGCGCAGGAAATTAGAAGAGAATGGCTTGGTTGGTTTTCTAAAAACCCTAGAAGGAACATATATAAAGAGGCGTACAAGAGGAGCCTATTTGTTAAAAACAAATCAGATTTTTAATCAATAAAAATTCCTTCCAAAAGGGCGCTCCATCAAAGAGAGAGAGAGAATAGGATTTGTTGCAAATCAAATCTCATCAAATCTTGCCAACAACATCCTATCATATCTTTATGATATATTAGGTTCAAAACCTAATCAAATATTTGATCATAAATCATCATATAATCAGTTATATGGTGCACCCCATATAGCCTAAATAATGACCAGATACATTTGAGTAATCAAATCACTCAAATATTCTCTCAACAGATTGTATCTTCTGGAGCTGATACTGATGACTAATCATCAGCCATATTAGCGCCCCATATCTCCTTGGATTATGTCCAAGAGATTTTCTCTTGATATGTTCCAACAAGATCTAATCTTGTTATGTTCCAACAAGATCTTATCTTGTCTTTTTTAAACAAGATCTTATCTTATCCTTTTTGGTAATGAAACAATTTTCATAGCCAATTCTAATTTAATTATTAAATTCAAATATTAAAATATTCAAATTTAAACTTTCAAACATTCAAATTCAAATTTCAAATTTCAAAATTCAAAATTCAAAATTTCGAATTCAAAATTCAAATTTCAAAATTCAAATTTCAAATTTCAAATTTCAAATTTAAAATTCAAAATTCGAATTTCAAAATTCAAATTCAAAATTCAAATTTTAAATTCCAAAATTCAAAATTTAAATGTTTGATAATTAATTAATTTAACTAATTAAATTAATTAGTAATGACTTGGACTATCCAAGCTCATTACATTAACCATGCGCCCTCCACCCCTTTAGGTGGAGTTCCAAACTACTTCTTGGGCTAATAACTATTATAAGGCCCAATACTTTTAATGCTAGAGCATCTAGACAATTAGGTGTTTGTGTGTGACCCATTAGGTCCAACATAGCCACTGACATAAATGGGCTTTGGCCCAATAAGCCCACAACTCATCTAATGACAACACAGAGCACTAGCAATGCTTTGTTGCCCCATAACTAGTTAGATTAATGATTTTATCATCCTATTAAACATATTTGGTTGCCGTATGTTTGTCCCTTCGTCTCGGTTACCTTCCCATAAAACCTAGGGTAAAGAAACGTATCATCCCTTGCGGTTTAGGGTTAGCTTTTTCTGAAATAGGGAGTCTTCAATTTACTGACTCTAAAGGCAGATCATCTTATGATCTCTTTTACTATGCATAGATTCCCGAGTCACTGTAAATGTCATCCCGATTTCTCCGGTTTAAGGATAACCTAATCTCTCACAGAGATTTGACGAATTCCTTCAGCTTATCACCCTAGCCCTGTGCCCTATCAGGACAAGCCCAAGAGCATACCTATGAATCTCCATGTTTCAGGCAGAAGTGGTATACAGTCAAAGCATGCCTTCTAGAACACATTCTAAGTGATAACTTCTGGTCTAAGGAAAGACATACCCAAATATAAAGAGACTACTTTAATGATACTATTTGTGAGATTTCCTCATAGAGTCTCTTTGTGGGTCCGTTCAGTGCGAGCTATACTCTTATAGGTCCACCCACGACTTTAGCTAAGACATCTCCATATCTGTAGCAGCACATGA